TAGAGACTCTGAAAGAATTCGTTCGCACACTCTGAAACGACCCGCTGCTGCAGGTCCCAGTAGTACTGCCAGCAGCAGCAGGTCAGAACTTAAACACAGGAACGTGTTCGCGCTAAGTCGCACGGAGGGCGTCCGCCGAAGCGGCACGACAATGCGCCGGCCTGCGGGCAAATGAATTAGCAGCCCAAACGAACGACCAGGAAAAAGGCGTGACCCAATTCTGAATGCATGCAAACATGCATGGGATGTGAACAAACAACATTCAGCAATATTGCAGCATATGCCGATGGAGCCAGCGTAGTCGTCGGTGTGGGGCACGCTGGAAATGTCTTCAGCAATCTTGAGGGATGAGCTTGCGCACACACACGGCTCACAATCAAGCTGAAATGTCTAGCGATTGCTAACGTCCTAGCTGGAGATAGCGCTTAGTTCCGCAATGCAATGTAGACAGTGCGGCATGTGCCTGAGGCAAGTGTTCGATGGAGTTGTCGCGTCGAAGGCGATGTTCGAGAATGCTGAAAGGTCGCATGGAAGATCGTAGCAGTTTCGAGGTGAGAGGTTGTCTTGGTTTCAGGACACACAGTCTTGGACTATGCTGGAATGACAAGACCAATTTCGCATCCGTGTGGCGTGATGCTTAACGCTCCAAATTAATGTGTGCGAACGCCGGGTGTTTTTGAATTGACCATGTCGCGCGCGCGCGCACACACACACACAAACAGACATTCACGTTGCAAGTTGTTGAGTGTTGTAGAAACGCTGTGGACTGTTGCTAGGCCTTCTTGTTAGTCAGGGCTCGCGAGCCCAATGCAGCGCTAAAGTTGTTTGACCTTACCGTGCTTGAAAAGACCAAGATCTGCGCAGCAAGCCCAAGGTTGCATGGCATGTATTTTTGAACTTGATGGTCTAATGCAGACAGTTCGAGTTGCTAATGAAGAAGCACAGCGTTCACATTATACACATTGTTCCCTGCCACGGGGGGGGGAGGGGGGGGGGGAGGGGGGAAGGGGGACGTGCCGCGCGGCAATTTGATGACGTTCCACTAAACGTAGTCTTCGGGGAGCCGGTGTCGCAAAACAGGGGTCCCAGGCTCGATTCCCCCTGCCGGCTTTTTTGCTGGCTTGGGCTTCCTGCATCCTTTTGCCGAAAATCTGGAAAAACTCAGATGTTTTTGGACGTCCTCTTTGCGAAAACGCTGGAAAAACCATGTTTTTTTGCGGAAATACTCCGGAGCAAAGGGGAAGTGCAATACATACATACATACATACATACATACATACATACATACATACATACATACATACATACATACATACATACATACATACATACATACATACATACATACATACATACATACATACATACATACATACATACATACATACATACATACATACATACATACATACATACATACATACATACATACATACATACATACATACATACATACATACATACATACATACATACATACATACATACATACATACATACATACATACATACATACATACATACATACATACATACATACATACATACATACATACATACATACATACATACATACATACATACATACATACATACATACATACATACATACATACATACATACATACATACATACATACATACATACATACATACATACATACATACATACATACATACATACATACATACATACATACATACATACATACATACATACATACATACATACATACATACATACATACATACATACATACATACATACATACATACATACATACATACATACATACATACATGTACATGCATGCATACATACGAGAGAGGGAGATTGGGGAGAGAGAGGCTTGGGGGGATGGGGAGGATGGGAGCAGAGGGAGGGAGAGAGGACGACAGAACACACAAGGGAGACAAGGAAGAGAGGAAGAAGGAGAAAAGGGAGAGGACAATGTCGGCGGACTGAGCCGGAGGCTCTAAAGTATATATCCATGAAACTCCCCCCTCCCCCCAACAAAAAAAACCTGCCTGCTGCTTATGTAAGGGGAGGCAGGTCATTTTAGATGGATGTGGGCTCATTTTACAATGTTGGCAAACTTGCGCAGAAAATTCCTCAAGCCTTTGCCACCCAGTTGTTGCTTCTACTTTCTGAAGCATGTTTGTGGCGTTCCTCCTTTAGATTATTGTTCAATCATTTCATGCATCTTGTGGTCATAAACTAAACTTATTTCAACACAAGTCAGTTTGAACATAGCATCAGAAGCAACGTTAGGTAAAGTGTAAAATTGAAGCCAGGTAAAGCGTCATAATACGCAAACTATTGTGTAAATATATATTGAAAATCTCAGTCAAAAACATGCTTTCATAGAAGTCTTGATGTTCTCCCTTGTGTTGCAGTTAAAATGTGTCCATATAAATCATACTTTTCCATAGTCTTCATCACTGATGTTATCCGCGTTCAACTGACTGTAAAACATCTCTGTGAGAGTACCGGCCAATGAAGCAAACAACACCTCTTCTACTTCGCCTACGCATCTTTGAAGTTTCTCAATTGATGTGCAAATCTCAATTGATGTGCAAATCCTCTTCGTCTGTCAACTTACAACCCTGCGCCAATACCTGCTACGCATCTTCCATCTCTCATCTCAGCATCCCTTCAAATGTCAGCTCACAAAACAAACAAGCTCACATCTTATATCCTTGACCAATGCCACGCTGTCTCCTAAAACAACTAACTTCCCTGAACGAAATCTGCAACACAGTGGTATTTACACTGTTGTTTGAATATCCAAGGGTTGGAGTGGATTTCTCTAAATCATGTTCTAAGAGTTTAGAAGTCAACTGCGTTTACCGCACACAACTGCAAAATTATGATAAGGTGCACACCCAAACATGAATGACTCAAATCAGGCGCTTTTCGGCGCTTTAAAGCGCTTTCAGATCTACCATTCAAGATTTCCAGGACTATGGACTTTGAATCTCGAGCCCAGTATGGGGCCCCCAGAACGCTTTAAAGCGCTTTCATTCAGGTAGCTCATGGACTCAAGATTCAAGAACAAGAGTCCTGGGATAGGGGCCCCAATCTTGAATCCACGAGAATGAAAACGCTTTGAAGCGTTATAAAGCGTTTTAGGGGCCCCAAGATGGATTCAAGATTCCAGATCTAGAGTCCTGGGAATCTTGAATCTTAAAGTGCTTTAAAGCGCTTCACAGCATTTTAGGTGGATAGAGGTGCTGTCAGATGTACAAATGCAGGCATAGTTAGATGGTCAAAATTGGGTTGCGGTGGAAATCACCCATACTGTAAATATCGTCAAATTCTCTTGGGGCATGTTTTATCTTTATGTTTAATTCTATTTTGAGGAGGGGTACTATATATACATACTGGAATGTGAGCAAACATATCAAGAATTCCATAGGCTTCTTTGTTCTTTTAAGCAGACTTCCGCCAAGAGTTGCTGGATTCTTGGATTCTTGGCTGTTGGGCTGCAAAGGGCAAGGGGGGTAAGGCCACACTGTTGCAATGTATGCCTTCTCTTGTTCTCCTCATGTATGACCATCACCATAACACTTCCTGCTGACACACTCGCAACAAGACAAAAGAGACAGAGAGGTAACTTTTATGATGCAAATAATCTGAGTGCGTTTACTAACGGCAGAATCATTAAGTTTCGTTCTGATACAGAGCCTGGGCTCAGATCAAGCAACATGGGGGCACCTGGTCGCTGTGCAAGCTCCATCAAATCCTGGAACTTCGAGCTCTGACACATAGCATTTACCAATAGCATGCGCCTTCCCATTTGCATGGATCTACCCCTGTCCTATTTCTAAGCTGAGGTTTTTGGTTAGCAGATGCATATATACATATGTGTATTAATATATATATATATGGGATCCAACAGTCTAGCCGTGAACAAGCAAAAACACAACATTGTGGAGCCAATGGCCCAAAACTGCAAAAGTGATGCGTAAAACAATACAAACAAGTAAAATTATATGAAGCCAATGCCCTGAGAGTCAAACAGCACAATTCTGGAGCCAATGACCTGAAAGTACAAACGTACAAGTAGAATTCCGGAGCCAGCAACCCAAAAGTAAAAAGTAACAAAGTAAAGCAGCAACATTGAAGTAACATGCTCTGACCATGGATTTGCATATATTACTTGTTTACTGTTTTACTTTTGGGTCAATGGCTCCAGAATTTTACTTTTTACTTTTTGTATATGGCTTTCCAAACCTCAGCGTAGAAATGGGACGGAGCGGCTGGATCCATGGGGGAGATATATACATATACATAGCCTAAATGTGCGCTGGGCTGGCAAATGTCGTGCCAGACTTGTCCGGTGTCTGAGGCTTCTGGAATTCGGGGAACGCATGGTTTGGTCGATGGAAAGAGCGGGTGCCTGCAATTGTTCAGCAAATGGCATCGCGGCGGCCAAGCTTGCTTCATTGCTGCTGACTAACGATCAAGAGAGACGCACAATTGCAGCTCCTTTGCATCACCTGGCTTTTGAGTAACGATGGAACGCAAGCAACAGATGTGGCTTTCTCACAGGGTAAGTTAGATGGCTCTTGTCCAGTGTAAGCCGAATTTATCCACAGCAAGTGTACCAACAGTGCTCGCATCCGTCGAATGTGTTGCTGCGTTCTTTGGCGTAAAACCAAATCACTTCAAGGAACTGGGCTTCTGATTGGCACAGCACGTGTGCGGTACTCGCTTGTTCCTTCAGCTAACACAAACCCGGAGCTCGCAAAACGTATGCTGAAGAGCTCAATTCGTCCAACGCGATCTATGGAAAACACTGAACTGAGCTATCAGATCCCCTAAAAGTTTAACTAGCTTCGAGTGGGCGAACTGGAAAACCAACCTTCTACTTTTCGCCCTCAGATCCCCTGCCAAAAGCTTCACTTTGGGCGAAATGGAAACCCCACGAAACACAAAAACGCCGAAGCCAAGGGATCTCAAGCCATCGGGTTTCCTTCCGACTGCGCTGCCGGGCTGAGGAATTCTGCGCAGCAGGTACGCCATGATCTGCAAGACCTCGGCAAACTGCAGCGTCGCCAGTTGCTTCCCTGGAAGCCTATCTCAGATGCCCAGGAAAATGTTCCATGGCGAAAAAAACTGGCACACTTTTTTTTGGTTGGTTGAGTCTTAAGTTTTTTTCCTTTTTTTGTTTTTAACCCTTGCCTGAAAAAAGGGAACCAGGGCACCACTGGGCAACTGGGCAACTGGGCATCCAAACCGGCTAGGCCCCTTTTCGGTGTTCGGACGCTTCGCAGCGAACCAAATATGACGCCAATGGTTGTGGTGAGTGTGGCGTGTTTGAGGCTTGGGGTACCCTTCCTGCCTTTTCCATCGGTCTACGAGCCCAAAGGAAACAGCCAGCCAATCCACAATGGATTTGTGTCTTTCTTGGGAGATCTTGTGCTTGAAAGGTACAAGGGAAAGGACGTGTCGGACACCGCCAACATCAAATGGGTGTTTCTCCTTTGAGACAACTTGCTGGTGCAGGCTAGGAATGAGAAATGGAATGACCCCTATAAACCATCCAGGTGGCTTCCTTCAAGGGGATAGGCTCATTCCAGTTCTCATTCCCTATCGCATCGACTTCCGGAGAGCTGAGATGCCCTGCGCGCTGGGAGCCCACCGCCTCAGAATTCCATCGGAACATAAAGGAAAGGCGATTCCGTCCGAGTGGGTCGGGAGTGAGAGGAACTCGGGGCCACAAGTTAAAGGCAATTTGGGCCCAGAATTCTTTTGGAGGGTCACATGCTCTCACAAACAAACAAGACAAAACACATGCCGCGGAACCACAACTTGGGCCTCTCTTTGATAGACTCAAAGCTTTGCAGTTGGCTTGACACCAAACCGTGGCCAAGCGGGCCAACATATCTTGTGGCTACAGGAAAGCACAGAACATGCATGGCCGGCCTTCAGCTTGATGCTTTGTAGCACAAGTAAGCAGCACAAACCAAGTCGTATTGTTTGGCTCTACCCTTGAGAAACTCACCAATACTGTGGATGGACAAACAAAAATCCTGCACCACCTAGAAACCATTAGAAACCATTGTTTGTTGGTTTTGTCAGGGGACTCGTTTTTTTTCAAGGGATTTTTAGGTGGTGCAGGATTTCGTCCATCCACAGTATGGGCGTTTACAGGCTTCTTAGCGTCGTCCTGCAGCAGGGCAGGGAGAACTTCGTGTCAATCAATCCACACGAGGAGAGCTTCCCAAAGTCCGACGCGAGCTATCAACTTGCATCAGGGCCAGTTTCAAGCAATGTGTCTTGGTTGGTTCACCCTTCCTCTGACAAAGATAGCATCTGTGGGAGGGTACCGAGATTGCTTTGTTCGTGGGAGGGTAAACCTATCTTCCACCCGCCAAAATAGCCATTTGGGTCACGTGCTTACCATTTGGCATCAAATCGTTGGGTGGTGTTGGTGTCCATTTCAATCCAGCCCGGTACCAACTTTAGGCGCCCAATGTCCCTCAAACGGCCTTCACTTCCGTCGCAGTAGATGTAGGCAGTTGCCCATTCTCCAGACCTTGCGATGGGCCGTGCATGGTGCAAGTTGTTGCGCCATCTTTTTCTCAAGATGTTGGAAGGTTTCTCTACCAGGCTTGTTTCTCAATGGGCCAGCCCGGCAACCATCCAGGCTCGAAACCCAAAAAGGGGCCCCGAATTTGCGGCGCGCCCGGCGCGGATTGCGCGCATTTCTTCGGCGCGAATTTCTTCCGCGCCTTCGTACAAGTGCGCGGGAGGAAGCGACGTCTCCGTGGAGCCGAAGGCCTAGGCACGCAACTCTGAGATACCAGAGGTGTGTTGGGATCTGAAACCCCAAACTGGTCGCCTCATGTTGCGCCGTTCTCCTTTAGCTGTGGTGCCTATGGCCTATGCAATATGTCCGATATGTCTGCATTCCCGCCTGCGGCTCTTTGCACAGAAGCACCTGGCGGACGTGCCGCTTTTAGGTTCTCTGTCTATGTTTGTCTCCTTGTTCTTCAAACAAAAATTAACAAGAAAAATGGGTGCCCTTCAAATGGCAGTCGTCGAGCCCTAGAAAAGGAGACCGGGTACGGTAGCCCTCGAAGACACACCCAGCGTTCCGCATCGGCCCGCGCAAAAACGTCGCCAGGAACGCGAGGAACTGGCCCAGGGTGAAGTTCCGGGTGGTTGGGTGTAGCGACAGGTTGAAGAAGAGTCGGGTCAAGGGCGTCACAGCAACCTGGCGTTTGCCGCTGCATGTGTCAATCGGGAACCTTTGACGTCTCCTTGAAACAAGGTGAAAGGAGCATAAAAGGAAACCCTCGAAAAACAAACATCAACAATTGGCTAGCTCACTGGTGTGCCAAAACCCAAAAAGGATGTGAACATCTATGAATGTTCGCTTCCAATGGGCTTGGGTGGTCAGAATTTGGCGACGAAAAACTACCTAGCATGGCATGGTCATGTTTCCACAAGCTCACTGCCACTCCAGCTGACCCATGGAACGACTTCATCCCTCCTCGTTGCGGAAGTACAAAAGCTGACAGACCTCGGCTCGGTGCGCTTAGCGCTTCGACAGAGTCGACACTCGTTCGAAGGAGAAAGCGGGGCCAATCCTCGTGTCCATCCCGAATGGAAACCACAAAAACACAACTTTTCATCAACAGATTCGACACGCTGTTTATGGAGAAAAACGGCGAATTGGTAGATGTCTTTCATCTTTCAATGTAAGGCCAAGCTAGCGCCCCCTTCAAGATCGACAAGGTTTGGACACGCCCCAAAAGTGTTGCTTTTTGGAGCAACCCCCTTCCCCCACCCCACCGATAAATGTGGGAAGTTAAAGGACGGGGAGCGAAGAGGCTCCAACGGCAGCTTTTGGTTTTGAGCCCAAACGGGCCCCTGCTTTCTGTAGCTGCGTGGGGCTTTCTGTTCTTGGGGGCCTCTAAGGGGTTGTGAGCTGAACACCTTGCCTTTTTGAAAACAAACTTTAGCAATAAGAATGCATTTTGGGGGATGCGCTTGTTTTTGGAAACTTGAGGGGTTGAATAGTCGCTTAGTATTGGTGGGTTTAAGCACAGACTAAACGAATACTAAGCTTGGGGGCTGCAGGAGGGTGGATTGGGGAGGCTCAAAAAATGTGTGTTCTTCTTTTTTTGTGTGTGCTAACCTTGTATTGGGAGTCTGGGATGGAAGAAGGCAATGAGAATCCCGAACGGGAAACTATAAACAACAACTCTTCCCAACCAACCCAAGGGTCTCTTGACAGCCCTTTTGAAGAGAGACAAAACATCGGCAGGGCGAGGTGATGCCACAAAACTTCTGCACAGCCAAGATACGTCTGGAATGGCAGCTGGTGGCAGTGGCTCTGGGTCCTCGCAAGCACCGTGCACTTGTCACCGTCAAGGAAACTGGATTGAGCTATGGAGGACAAGTGCGGGCCGCGCGGTAGTTCATTGCCAAGAGCTTTCCAACATGCTGCTTGAGCATAGCTGGACTCCCTATGAAGGGAATCCTCATCATTGAATCAAGGGAGGGTTGGGGGTATGCTCAAGAGGTATGCTCAAACGATCTTTCATTCTTACCAATTCAAACAGGGGGTCATTGTTGATCCTTGGCTGGTGTTGACCCCTTGATCCCCCGGCTACGAGGGGATGCGTCCATTGGGGATTTCTATGCCCAACTGGAGGCTTCTTGAATGGTCAACAGTTGGGGTGACAGCCTTTGCTGAATAGTGAGACATCACCGGGTGAATGGTTAGATGTCCCTATCCTTTCCTGTTTACTTGCGGCATAGAGGGCAAATGAGCGGATGATCGCCATTTCACGAACGGAGCAGGCGAGCTTTGCTTGGGTCACACGGCTTGCCGCTCACGCTCCTGGCAGTCGTCATACTCGTCCAAACGCTCCAGCAAAGCGCGGTCCGCCTGCAGCTAGGCGGATACAAATCGGAGCCCAGCCCAAAAGAATACCCCAATCCCCTACATTCTCTGTCGGATTTCCGGACCATTGTTTAGTCAAGCACAGTTTCTTGGCGCCCAATGCCAACGGCTTTGACAAATGGCTGTGGGTCAAAACCCTGTACCCCCGGTGAGCATCAAAATAGGTGGCAAATGGATGTTCATCTACCCCAAAATGGAGCCATAGGTTACGCCCCATGGCCAAATGTTTTGGCGGTCAGGTGACCCGCCTTGTCGAAGGATGCAAGCCGCGGGGAGTTGGTTCCTTGGTCTGCTGCGGTGAGACCCCGGTACATGAGCTTGGTGCTCCGGACACAATGCGCATCAGGCCTACAGCAAAGGCTGTATGTGTGTATGACTGTTTTGTCAGCCCAATTGCAAACCGCAGTTTAAGGCGTTATGTGTCCTTGCTTGGCTTGATTTGGCCATACGAGTACTAAGGCATGTCCAGTTGGCTCTTCAGCCTAACCGTTGGGCGTTGGCCGATAGTTTCGTTGCTTCGCATTTGCCGCTCAGTGCCAAATTCGCTGAGATTCACGGTTGTACACCTTGCCTGTGCAAACATCTTTCACTGTGCCCGGTGGACTGCCTTTGATTTGTGCGAGAACGCTTCATGTTAAAAATATGCCTTCTGATGCGCATCAGAATCAAGATCCCAAATCAGCGTCAACAACGGAGCACGAGGCTGGAGCAGCAAAATACGTTGGCTCGGACGTCGATCAAGCCCCGTGGCAAAGCGCAATGGTTGATATCCCTATGACCAGGAACAAGCCAAGACACTAACATCTTTTGGCTTCCATTTCAGACCATCCCCCAAAAAGGAAGGGCTTTCCAGCTGCGCGTCTTGCACGTAAAAAACATATTGTGTGTGTGTGTGTGCGCGTGCATTTGTAGTTGGTACAAAGTATCTACGCAACGCTTGCACATCGCAAACTTCCAGGAGCAAGGCATCCTGATACTTAATCAACATCAGCCCGCAAAAGGCTGCAGCCTTACTTTCAATCAAATGAGGAAACGAAACAACCTATCCATCCGTAGCAAAACACAATTGCGAGACT